GGGGGAAGGGGCGATAGGGGATGGGGGAAGGAGAAAGGGGAGCGGGGAACGTATCCAAGGAAGGAAGGGTAGGGTTTGGAAGGAGGAGGGAAGGGGGAGGTGATAATAATCTTAATGATGGACTTACAGATGATAAAAGTTGCTCGCCCCATCGGACGGATGGGAGGCCTGCGAGGGGCGTTGCGGAAAAACCGTATACTGCTGAGACGTTGAATTGTTGGAACTAAAAATATTGAAGAACTGGTTTACGAAAGGCGAAATCATTCTAATTAACGTCAGAATCTTATTTATTATTTAGGAAAGATTGGGGTTACCTAATCCACCACAGGAGTTGAGAAGATCTAAAAGAGCCTCAAAGTCACTTGATTCTCTATTCGAATTCTGATTGAAGGAGGGAGGGGAGGAGTTTCCCCCGTGCAAGTTTGGGTTTGAATTGGTATTGCGCGTGCTGGTGAAATTTGGCTGGAAACAGACTTCGTTGCCCGAAGAAGAAGGCGGACATCTATCGAAATTATGAAGAGGAAGATCCCTGCCCTCCGCGGCACTCCTGTGGGATTGTGCCTCGTTAATAGGAGGAGGAGCAGCCGATTTTCTAACGTTATGGTTTGACTGCGACCTATGCTGCCTTGGGGATAAGCCTGCTGCTATTCGTGCATAAGAAGCCTGGAAATCTGGGGAATGATAATCACTATTATTAATTCCGTTTAGAGCCTCAAACCTGTTGTGAGTAGGAACAGCGAAAGCAGAGCTAGATCTTGTAATAGGGGATTGAGAAGGGGAATCAGGGCCAAATGTAGGGGAAGGGAGAGTATTCAACCTTTTTTTCGCCTCTGCGAGGGGTATATTTTGAGCAGCTGAAAGAGTGAGAATTCTCTTTTGGTTCTCTAGTAGGGGGCATTTAGGATCCACTGGGAGATGCTCACCCGAACAATTTATGCAGCACGGTGTGTCTTCCTTAAGCGGGCAGATGACTTTGTTGCCATGTGGGGCATTGCCGCAATGCAGCGTGGCTGACTGCAACAGGCAGCACTGACGTGACCAGCTCTATAGCACGAGTAGCATATCCGAGCTTTAGGGATATACGGGTGAACTTCGTGCCTGGCCCAGAAGAGAGTCACATGAGTGGAAAGTGATTGCCCTGCGAATTTAACGCATATGGTACGTGAAGGCACATACTAAGTGATACGTTTATCACAACTTTTCTATTTAGACGGTGTACGCTAATGATTTTATGATTTTGTGATGTAGACATAGAAGATTTAATTTCTGCCACGTCAAATTCTTGCGGAATATCTTTGATAATTCCTGTTCTCAGGACTCTGTAATTAGGTATTACTGCTTTTAGATTAAAAGTTGCAAGATCCGGATTAGAAACGAGTTTGTTAGCGGCCGCCGCTGTTCTGCATACAACTATTATTTTGCCGATACCGAGGCGTTCCATCTCAACGATGTCGGATGCAGACATAACCTTACCTACTTGAGCGAAGATTTTCACCGGATGTTGCGTGCTATTTCTGTTGTTGCCTAGCGCGTGGACGTGAACGGCGTAAGGAGGGAGATCTGAAGCCGTGTATGTATTTGCCTTTTCTTCAATTTTGCGCGTTTTATTTGCTTTGCCAGAAGCGCTGGACCCAGCGTTCGAACCGAGCGAAATTTCAGAATGGTGAGGAGGCACAGATTCTCGTGATCCAGACGCCGTGGAGGTAGAAGCAGCCTCCGAGTCTCGGAAAGTGCGTTTATTACCTTTCTTAATCCCGGCTGAAGACGGTGTTCTCTCCTGATCGTTCGTCGTCTGCGGCGCTTCGCAAATCATTTCATCGCCAGAGATATCATTTCTGTTAAGACGCTGGGATTGAGAGTGCGCAATGGTGTTGTGCGCAGAAACAACACTGTTGAGATGTTATTGATTCAAGTCCGGAAGCACACCGAAGCCCGCGTTTGCATTTACTAGGGGAGGGGAGAGGGATGGCAGCGGATAAGGTTGAGAAGCAAGAGACGCTGGAGATAAGGGGGAAAAGCTTTGAGAAAGGGCTAATTGCCCCTCAAACGTAGAAAAACTTTCGAGCGGAACCGATAAAGTCTGGTTTTCCGATGAGGGGGGACGTGCGGTGTCCGAGTATGGCGGACTTGCCGGGACATTATCTCGGCCCCCAGCGCCCGAGGCCGAGGCCTCGTACATATCGGGAATTTGCGTACTCAACTAACACAGGGGATAAAGGCTTCGCGTGAGAGAACAAGCCCGAACACCACTTGCCGAGAATTACCCGACGGAAAGCAAACAGTAGACACTATACGAGAGCACACTAAGCACGCGTCCGTACCATGACCAAGTTCACACGCGAATCCCCGGATGATTTTCACAAGAGCCAGAGTTGACCCATCCCCCCCAAACGCGTCACTATGTATTAACAATCAAGACATTCCTCGTGTATTTTCAACGCGATTCCTCGGCGTCATCTTTGATCCCACCTTAAAGGGAGATGCTCATCTCAAATATCTAGTTCGTAAGGGAAAGGCTGTCTCGGATGTGCTGGCATTCATCGCGGGTACCTCCTGGTGGGCGCATCCCGAGACCTTACTCAACATCTATCGCTCGGTCTTTCGTGGGGTTATCGAGTACGGATGCATGATCTTCCGCATCACAGGAAATAAGAATGCGTTATTGAAGCTGGAAAGGCAACAATATTGCTCGATCAGAATCGTCTTGGGATACAGAGGTTCCACCCCAATTAATGACATGCTTGCCGAGGCCATAGAACAGCCACTCTCCATTAGATTTATCTATCTTATAGATAAATACCTATACAAAACATACTCTCAGAAATTTAGCATTGTCTTGCGCAACTTGCGACGTCTAGACTTGTCAGCATACTCCGACACATTCAGGGTAAAAGCTCGAAAGCTTATCCTGTTATACGACAGATATTGCGCTACAAAACACGTAAAGGAGAACATTCATCGATCTACATTCTTATCCGCCTTTAATAAGGATTGTTAACTTTCCATCTATATAGTAACTCAAACAGCACAAGGATGTCCTAAGGACATCCCCAGGGCGTCGAGGAAGGAATTTGTGGACGTTATCAGGATGTCCTATTTTCATCCAGGGACGTCCTGAAGACGTCCTGTGGTATAGCAAATGAGCGCCTCATCGTGTCCTCAGGAAGTCCTAAAGACGTCCACAGGACGTCCAGGATGGGTACTGAGGACATCCTCAGGAGGTCCTATTTTCATCCAGGGATGTCCTAAGGACATCTTGTGGTATAGCAAAATCTCTGACGTGTCCATAAGATATAAAAAATAAAAAATAACG